CCCACCGACATATGACTTCACGAGTCAAGGTCAGCAACGCACCAGCCCCACTATAAATAGTGGTGGTACTGCACTGCTTCCCCCTCCTCAGATGCCGCATCATGGACCAGAATCACTTCGAAGCCGTACGGAATTCTTTCTCCATTGCCTATCCGAACTCTTCCCACGGCCGAGTTTTTGCCTCAGCGACCAGCAGAGCCACCTGCCGCTTTGACTGCCGGTACATATCAGCTGCTTCTGGAGTCCCAAAGGTCAATAAAGCCAGATAGGACTCCTTCTTCAGCTTGACAGCTCCGACTAGCCGCCTCAAAAACAGAGGCATGGAAAATGGTCCACTCAGACTGAATGTCCCCCACGACCCTCAGAACGTGTTCAAAGCTCTGCCGGAGATGGGAGTTAAAGCTCCTTCTCATGGGGGACTCCGCCGGACATTCCCAGCAAACCCTCACAATACGTTTGGGCCTACCAGGTCTGACCAGCGTCCTCCCCCACCATCGGAGCCAACTCAGCACCAGGTAGTGCTGAGTGGAGAGTTCCGCCCCTCTCTTCACCTGAGTGTCCAAGACATGTGGCCGCAGGTCAGATGAAACAACAACAAAGTTGATCATTGAACTACGGCCTAGGGTGTCCTGGTGCCAAGAGCACATATGGACACCCTTATGCTTGAACAAGGTGCTCGTTATGGACAATCCCTGACGAGCACAGAAGTCCAACAACAGAACACCACTCAAGTTCAGGTCAGGTGTGTCATTCCTTCCAACCACGCCTCGCCAGGTCTCACTATCATTGCCCACGTGAGCGTTGAAGTCCCCCAGAAGAACAAGGGAGTCCCCAGGAGGGGCACTCTCCAGTACCCCCTCTAAAGACTCCAAAAAGGGTGGGTAATCTGAACTGCTGTTTGGAGCATAAGCACAAACAACAGTCAGACCCCATCCCCCCACACGTATGCGGAGGGAGGCAACCCTCTCATTCACCGGGGTGAACCCCAACATACAGGCACCAAGATGAGGGGCAACAAGAATGCCCACTCCTGCTCGGCGCCTCTCACCAGGGGCAACTCCAGAGTGGAAGAATGTCCAGCCCCTCTCAAGGAGACTGGTTCCAGAGCCACGCGTCGAGGTAAGTCCAACTATCTCTAGCTGGAGTGCACCCGACCGCTTTGGCCCCTCCTACAGGTGATGAGCCCATTGAAAGGGGGACCCATGTTTCCTCTTTGGGTTGTGCCCGGCCGGGCTCCATGGGTAAAAGCCCAGCCACCAGGCGCTCGCCAGCGTGCCTGAGTGGGGCCCCAGTGACCCACTGTGACACTAGGTCCATTGGTTTTACACATCGTAAGGCATCTTTTGGGCCCCTCACCTAGGACCTGTCTGCCTTGGGTGACCCTACTAGGGGGCATAAAGCCCCCAGACAGCATACTTCCTAAGATCATTGAGATACTCAAACCCCACCACCACGATAAGGTGGCAGCCCAGGAGGGGCTTTCTTGTGTTCTTGTGAATTGGAACAGCACTAGGGCTGAGACTGATGACATTTCACGAGCACACGAGAACGCACAATTACACATATTGAGAAACAGCCATTGGCTCAAAAGCAATCCCTCACACAAAGCATGTTGTAGCAACAGTGGAGAAGAAACTCCTTTTTAACAGGAAGAAACCTCCAGCCGGATCAGGCTCAGTGTGTACAGCCATCTGCAGAGGCCGACTGGGGTTCAAGGAGACAGACTGGTCCATCAGATTTCCAGATGGAGAAATGTGATTCATCACTCCAGAGAATGCATCTCCACTGCTCTGGAGTCCAGTGGCGGCGTGCTTTATCTCAGTTCCATGCTGGGATTCACTGAGCTCCTGAGAGTGACCCATTCTTTCACAAATGTTTTTTAACAACAGTCTGCATGCCTAGGTGCTTGATTCATACGCCTCTGGGATGGAAGTGATCAGAACATCTGATTCCATAAATTTGAATAGATACTTTTGTTGATACACTGCATGTTCTTCTATGAAAAGATCACGTTTTAGGATCAAATCTATCTGCTTTATTTCAGCATAGAAATCCCTGTTGATCTGACAAAACTTAACATCTCATCCAACTTTTCACCAGCTGATATCAGAAACTGAATTAATTTTACATTGCTTTTTTAATGTTAAAGCAGTTGCTTAAAACTGTAGTTGTCACTCTCTGCCAGTCAAACTCTTTGCATTTCATCAGCAAGTACTCTTCTATTGGAAATTAATTAACAAACATAACTTCACTCCAAACAACATTACAGTTTGGAACAACAGATATGTAGTGAAGTCAGTATTCGAAAGAGAGCAGCATATTAAAGGGATCTGGTCTGTTAGTCACTTAGTCGATTCAGAAGGAAACTTTTTGGATCATGCTGGTTTTTTTAAGCCCAATATAAAGTAAACAGCATATTTCTAAAAATCTCTAGCTATACCTTGCCTTTTTATTTCTCTAGTTAAAAATTATTTGTTATACTCTGACACTTCCCCAGTACTGAGTTCACTACAGATTAAAGGTATTAGATCCACGATATTAGATGTAACAATAATATGTCAAGGAGGTTCCTCTTAAAGGAATATTTTCTAAATTCAATTAGAAGACACTACATTTTAAACAAACTAATAAAAGATCAGATTTATTAAGGAACAATTAACTATATAACTAACCCTCTGCCTCTAAAAGCGAAAGAGATGCAATTCAAAATAATGAATGAAATATATCCAACTAAAGAATTTTTATAATAAAAATATTTGTTATATTTAGCAAAAAGTGATAAAAAGAAGTCAATGAAACAAAAAGCATCACATTAGAACCACATTTATCTCCAAAGACTGAGTTGTTGTTGTAGCCAGTGTTGGGAAAGTTCTCTTTCTACGTGAACTAGTTCAAAGTTCAGTTCACACATTTTAAAATGAACTAGTTCAGTTCATAGTTCA